GAGTGAAGGTATTGGAAAAGGAGAAGAAATATGAGCTTGAGACCCTCTTCATAAAACGACATTGTAAGCTTTCGGTGCACCAAGTAATGACAAACAGATGACAATGAGAAAAAGGGAAAAAGAACGGAGAAATTCACACAAAGGCCATTGGAAAAGAAAGAGAGAAGTAGAGAAGAGGTACTGATAGTGGATGAAAGAGTGTGAGTACGATCGAAGTATTGGTGTTGAAGAGATAAAAAGTGAGAAAAACTTTTCTTCGCTACGATGTCAATGCGTTTGGTGTCATATAAAAATTAGTTGCCATAAAAAAATTAAACCCTTGTCTCCTTTTTGGCATACCATTTCTGCAGTTGCTGCATGGACTGCAGGCAGTTTTAGGTATTCGGAAGGCTTTCTCTGTCAACTGGAATACCGAAGAAGGGCTGTGAGAGGTAAGAGGTCATGCGAAAAGTCGAAATCATAAAATGTTTTATGTTTTTATTGGATTGGAATAACAGCATGTCTGCCCTTTCGAACAGCACACACGCTCATCAGATAAGCATATGTTGACATATTTATCAAATTTATCATTTAGAAATGCTAAGTTTTGATGTGATGTGATCCTAAATCACCATTTTAATATTCAAATTTAATGTATTTTAGATCACTGTTTTCACTCCCACGGAAACCATCGCAATTAAACACAATTTGATGTGCTTGAGTAGAATATGTTCAGTGCATGCAAATGCCAACGTTCATTTCTCATCATCTCATCAATCATATGGATGGCCGACCCGGTTGCTGACTACCTGTCCGGCCGTTTGCACGGTGAGTTCGGTCAAAAGGTGAGTTTAGACTGCTGTGAAAACTCTTTCATTACGTGTCAATTACAATGAATTCAGGACAGAGAATAGCAGCAATCAGTTGCAGTTACGACGCATGAGCGTCAGTGGGAGTGAATGGAATTCACATCGTCACTTACGGCGTTATTTCTAAACGAATTGAAATTCACAAGCCAGAAAAAAACCAACCGACAGTGCAGAGTTCTTCCTGCACGCTGTTGATAATCGCTTCACGGTCAAGTTGTGTATTGCCATAAACATTTCCCTGTGCACCGCATGTCGCCTCTTCTGCTGTATTCGCACATTGTGTTCAAATGCAGCGCATCGACGTTTATATTGCTTAATAGGAAAAAAGTACAGGATTGAATACAATTAGAAGAAAAATGAGACGTAAACTGTGCCTTTTCCGACGAGACGTAGGGAAGAGACCGAGCTGAAGAGTGCACAGCAAAAGCCGACAGCAACAAGAGACAAACAAACAAAAAAACACAAAAACAATGTGCGTAAAACGCAGAACCAAACCGACACGCATTGAAGGAGAAACCAAAGAAAACTGTACGTAAAAGAGCCGAGAGAGAAGAGAGAGAAAACGTCTGTGGTGAAGAAATGTATGCGTTGAGGTGAAACCAAACATTGAATCAATGCAGTTCTAAGCAGAGCTATTTGTTGCAGTTTTCTTCGGAATGTCATGTCGGTTTTTTTTACCAAAGAACTTTCATGCGCTCAAAGTGTTTCAAAAACTTTCGAAATTAAGCGTGAAAAAAATATTTTGTCATTGTTTGTGACTGGTATATGAACAGAAGCTCTTGAAATATCTATTATTTAACTATTTTATTGAAGAAATATTGACGATCGGCCATTTATCAGCAGTGATATTAATTAAACTCAACTAATTCCGCTTCGGTAATATCACATGAATGAATGCAAACACAAAATTATCATTTTGAAGAGGAAGTAAATCGTCCGTTTGTCTTGAACATCTGAGGCACATAAAATATGTTTCGAAAATAATGCAACGACGTACATTTTTTTACAAATATGTAGACAAAATGAGCCCGATTGACTGAGGAAGAAGAAAAAAACGGATTCGGCACCAAGAATTTTGGCGTCGCACAATGGACCAAAGCACATTATGACGGCACATGTAACGGAAGAAGATCCGACAAAAGTACTTCAGAAATGAAGCTGTTTCGTCGCTTCCGTAACTATACTACGTTCAGTGTAGAATTAAAAACGGAACCCAAATGAAATAAAGTGAAGCAATAAATCCAAATAACGTGTGCTCATAATGTTCACAGTTGGTCAGCATCTTAATCGGGCGGCTGCTGCAGCAAAACTAAAACCTCGTTGAAAGGCAGCACATGCGAACACCTTCGCAAATGTTGTGATTACTACAATTTTACCATAGCGAACAGATATGTGATCAGTGTTTGTTTGTTTCAGTTTTTCGCTCCAATTTCTTCCGTTCAATAAACACTTGAACACTTCAACATGAACTGGTGAAGTCAATTCGAAAGCGTTTAAAAAACAATTTGCTTAATGCAACTTCGCTTTGTTTGAAGTTTCGAAGTGGATTTTAAAAACACACTACACGACAGCACGGTTATGGAAATGACGATTTATTTATATGGTTTTTAGTGGAATGATGTTGCATTAAGTGTTTCAGTCATTTCGTCGTGTTTGCTCATCGCATATGGATATTATGAATCATTTGAGCAATATTCTGTGTCGATCACATGCATATTAGCACCGCATTCAAGCGCTCTCATGAATATGTGTGACGACACTAGCATCACTTCTCTTTTTGGCACATGGCGCATGATGTGAGGTTATGCAGAGAACTTCAGCGTCATGTGAGTGTTAGAAAAGGAAGTTTAGAAGACGAAATTAAGGGCATTGAAAATATAAATTGAATTCTCGTATTTTTGTGGTTCGCTTTTAAGCAATTTTTTCTGTTACCAAAGTGCATTCCCTCAAATCAAAACAACACTCTATATTGGGAGACGTTGAAATGTGATTGATTTGTAGTTGTTCCGCATCATTTGTGATGCATTCCATGGAACCGTGTGGTTGCCCATCCATTTTCGGTATAAGTTAATGAATTTTATTGCCGTACTGAAATCACTTTCAAACATTTATCGTGTGAAATGTGTTAATAATGGTTTATATCATTCCAACTAACAATAACAAGCAAAAGATGGAGTCAGAAAAAGCCACTAAAACATCAAAATATGTTAGCTGACAACAGAAAATGGCAGTAATTTTGGTGGCGGAGACAAATGAATATTGTTTCCGTTTTTGGCGTTGACACTTAATGAGTGTGAATTTCACTGTCAACAAAAGATCAACTGAATATGGGACGTGGGTGTGTTCAGTTAATGGGCTGAAAGCAACGACAGTACAGACATTTTTACAATGTGCCTGTTTTTTATTTGGCTTTTTGTCTTCGTATAATCTCGCAAAACATTCCGTAGTATTTGCAACATCAGGTAATTTTACAGCTAATAAGGAATAGTCCATAAAAAAATAACGGAAACGTGTGCAAACACCTCTTGGCGGAAAAGATCCGTTTCTATTTTATGATTGTGCAATTTTTTGACACTCGTTTTGCACTTGGTTCTGTTGGCAAGCAAATTTGTATCGAGAGGTATTAAAATGCCGTTGAATATGCACCAAACAGACTTTAGCTCCCATTGAATATTTCGTTCTTTACTACTCAATTTGGGTGTGAATCCAATTGGTACGGAAGATTTTATGTTTATGATTAGAAATATGGTTTAAATACTAATTGAAAAGATAAAACATTTTTTCGTACACAAATAAGATGAATATGAAATGGAACGGTGACAGAATTATGGCTGACCGATTATGACTGACTTGTTGGCAGACTTCTCTTACTTGCCTTTTTGAGGAATTTGAGTGCATTTTCCATTTTTAAATAAAAATCGAGTGAAACAAATTCATGAAATAAATTTGAATTGATTTTTAACATTTAAAGAAACCTTGACTTTGAAATGCGTAGAATGTCACACCGTACTTTTCATCCAGTATTTTGCAATGGGCACTATCCTTTTATTTCTTTGTGAATATTTCAAAAAAGAGTTGACGGAAGTATTTTTTGGTATACATGATGGGCGAACCATTGAATTTTGTCCCATTTACAGTTTCTTCTCATTTTTGTGGGTGGGTTTTTAGTAAAGATAACACTTGGAATGATATTTTTTTTCGAATGATCAACAATTGCCATTCACTTAAAAATGTCATTATGCATCTTAGGCCACAGAGAGAAATAGGATACGAAGTTTCATGTTCAGATGTGCTTAAGCATTGTGTTGGTTTTCATATTCCGTCTATGGCTTCGTTTTCAACCAGTTCGCCCGATTCATACACACACATGTTCTCAAATGTAATCACTAATTAGTCTTTTCTGCATGTGATATAATCGGCTTAGTATATGCGTTTGTATTTGATCATTATATACTCAACAAGCAACCGATAGGTTCAAATCCGGTGCATAAATACATACGAATACATAACACCTATTTCGCTTCTTAACGATATATTCAGTTTGCAGTGATATTAGAACAGCTCATTCGTCCTTTGATGTTTGTGTGAAAAACAACTGTTATTCTGTGCAAGACAAATACTTTTGCGATATTTACTTATAGACATTCGTCTTCAAATATTGAAAAATTAACCGAAAAACCCAAGAATTTCATCTCAGTTTTTGATTCATTTTGTTCGCAATCATTGGAATGGCCAGTGTGTTGAAGAATACCGCTGCTCTCGAAGCGTGTCAAACATTATACCTTAACGAAGAATTTGCGGATGTTCGTTTCGTGTTCAACGTCGATGATAAAAGTGTAAAGGTTCCGGCAAACAAAGTCATTTTATCGGTTCTCAGCCCAGTATTCAAAGCAATGTTCTTTGGGTCGTTGAAAGAGGGAAACGAAGTTCCAATTGAAGATGCAGATCCCGACGCATTCGAAGAGTTTTTGCAATTATTCTATCTGGGTGAGGTGACATTAACCATGGAGAATATCGAGACCGTTGTTCGTTTGGCCGACAAATACGATGTCCTCGAACATGTCAACGCGTGCGCCGTGTTGCTAAAAAGCCAACTGACATTGGATAACATGTGCTTTGGCTATCAATTGGCACTGACTCTCAAAAATGAAGAACTGATCAAGTTCTGTGAGGGCAAAATCACCAATTTGCCGAAGGAAGTATTTGCCAGCGATGCATTTAAACGCTGTGATAAAGACACTCTGGAGCGAATTTTAGAGCTGAATTTTATGTGCAAAGAAATCGATATATTCGATGCGTGTTTGACGTGGGCCAAGCACGCATGCGAACAAAACGATTTGAATGCAACGCAATCGGTGAATTTGAGATCCAAACTCGGCGATTTTTTGAAGTTGATTCGATTCGGTGCTATGACAAACGAAGAATTTGGCAAAAAATACATGTTACATAAGGGACTATTCACTCTAGAAGAACTTGAAGATATAATGCTTTCATTATCAGTGAAGGAATACGAACCGAAAATATTCAACCAAATCTCAAGACTCCGATAAACCGAGATCCGCTGTATTATGGCAAAATAAGCAAAGATTGTCATTGAAGAACTTGTATTGTTTGGAAAAGGAAAACAATTAGTTTTATGTAAGTCAGTCAGTAAGTGTAGGGCAATTGAATGGGATAAAATGTCATTTCGTGGAAAGAACATCGATTTACCGAGGCGAAGCCTCGGAACGGGGCCCCGTTCCGGGGCGCCGCGGCAGCGGCGCCCATCCGTTCCACCCCCCCGCCCTTTCCACCAAAAAACGGCCCTTTCCAACTGTTGAATTCTTTCCTTTCTTTCAGTTGTTAACGTATCAATTAAGTTTACTTTCCACTGGAAACATCTTTTTGTGCATTCCAAAAAAAAAAATCCCCGCCGCCCCGTTCCGAGGCTTCGCCTCGGTAGATTGACGTTATTTCCACGAGATGTCATCTTATCCCATTCGAGTGACCTACACTTATTACTAACAGAAAAGTCCTCTCCAAGTGGAAAGAATCTTTCCAGATGGAAAGTACTTTTCAAAAAAAAAGGAAATCCGGGTGGAAAGGTAAAAAAGGGTTTTCATATGGGATGCGGATAATGTTTTGCAGGGCCGTAGCCAGGATTTTTCCTAGGAAAGTGTGGTTCCACTTTA